AGCACGGAAATACGCCTGTTGCCTCGTCTCGCCTGCAGATTCCGAGTTCGTCGTCGCGAGCAGTCTCTGCAACTTACGCGTGTCCCCCGTTTCACCGATGTTCGATTTAATGTACGCGAACAGTTCCTCCCTGCATTGCTCACCGAGGTCGGGACACTTTACGTTCGGTTCCCTCGGTAATTCCTTGAACTCGAACATGTTTACTGTCGATAGGACAGCCCACTGTAATCCGACACATGTCGTTGACACCATGCGAGCGAATTCTTCCATTCAGCCTCCATGGTGGGATGGCTAAATCCCCGTGATTCACGTAGTGTCATCACGTGACGCCTGTGGCTCCACGCGTGATAGTTGCTCGCGTATCTATCGGCGCACGTAGTCGCTATGTCCAATTCCGTGCAGAGCGGCGAATCAGCCGGTTCTGGATCGTAATGGCCGTCCTTAGTATTTAATATGTAAGACAGTAACCACCGTCGGTAGGCGAACGCCTCGAAACATTTCGGTTTATGGTAAAGCACCAATCGAGAAAACAAGAATTCCTCTGACGCATCCAGCTTGTGACTTCGTACCAATTCCCGTCGCATGTTCCAAAATGTCGTGACATCTGGATTCAAGAGTAACGCGCCGAGCAGCCATCTTGCTACTGTACTGGGCTCCTCGCGTCTGTGTTTGTTCTGGCGAAGCTCGAATAGACGACGGTGAGCATAACAGTACAGTGGTTGCACACACCATGATGCTAGACCGAGACTGTCTTCTTGGTGGAATACTGGTGATTTGTTCTCGTTGTCCTCCGCGGGGATTATTTCAAAACTTTTCCTGAAATTACAAGCGGGGGAATACTTTATTTACGACAATCCTTCGCTGGAGTGAAATATCGGCTGATACTACAAAAAAAATAATTTAGAGAAATGTAGTCTGGAAGATAGACAAAATTTTTCGATTTCTACATTTTCGTATGTTTGAAGTCTTGAAATCATGTTTTTCGAAAGTACTTTGAGGAAATTAAAAAAAAAAATGGCAACGTGACATTCGTGCATCAACTGGTCACGCGGAGCGTGAATTTTTCGCTTCACGCATCTGTATCGCCATGTTTCAATAAAACAGTC